TCTAGTTCTAACCAAAAGAGAAAAAAAACTCAACAGAATTTTGTCTTCAAGCTCACGTGAAGATATTCTATTACCTTTAACTTAACACATATTAATCAGGTACATGTTCATTTTAATGTATTACATCAGTGATGATGTCAAATACTAGTTCCTGTTGAAGGTACACACAATAACACTTCTCCCTTTACCATTAGGCTGCTCAACAATCACCCTCTACCTTAAAGAAACTATGGTTTCATGGCTCTTTATTCTATGGAAACAAATTAAACAAAGTATATACCTATTCCTTGAAGAGTGAACAGCATTAAAAGAACATAAAATCATTATGTAACAAAAATAAATCAAAAACATAATCCAATGAAAATCTTACTTTTCAATTATGTTATATTTGTATTTAGTGAAGATTGACAATACACATGTTATATTCCTATTTTATTTGAAGATATAAGTTGCCTTGGGTAAATTTAATTCATTTTTCTGTAAATCTGAGTTTTAAAATATAACAGGAAAAAATGTTTTAGTATTTTAAATTATTCATTCAACCAGAGCCATTACACAGACCTCCATTTCCAATTGTAATACATAGGAAAATACCAAAAAAGCGGTATCTACAAAGATTCCTAGGAGCTCTGGTAGCATAGTGCCTAAGCATTTGACTGCTAACTAGAAGGGTGGCGGCTCAATCCCACCAGCCACTCCTCGGAAGGAAGGTTGGGCAATCTACTTCCGTAGTGATACTGTCTCGGAAACCCAAGGAGGGGTCGCTATGAGTCGGGTCTGGCTCGATGGCACATTAACAACAGCAACACAAAGATTCCTAATTAACTTTTATTCACTGGATAGTAAGTACATGGCTGAAAGGTCTTATATGTATTGATAAAATAGGTACTGAAACAATAATCCAAATGTTGTTGTTGTTATCTGCCATCAAGTCAGCCCAAAATTAAAGCAACCCCTCCTTGGGTTTCCGAGGCGGTACCACTATGGAAGTATAGTGGCTGGTGAGTTTGAACCGCCAGCCTTCTGGTTAGCAGTCAAATTTGGCCAAGTGCCTTAGGCCAAATAGTTTACGCTAGATGCTATAACTAGTGTATTTATAAGCAAATAATACATGTATTTTAATTTTTTTATGAATAGTCCAACTCCCTCAAGTATTAGTTCCCTAATATGTGTGCTCTGCATGTTAATTGCACATATTTGTGTTTTTACATGGATGCATTTGAAAAAATACAGTAGTATAAAAGATATCATTAAGAACTACATAGTCATCTCAAATTTTTATTTGCAGCAAATGCACTGCCCATTTAGACTAAGATCTTATAAACTTAAAATAGGATCAAATGGGGAATAGGAAGACTAAATGGAATGTGCGCCTAACTGCCTCATAAACAACTGCCTCCTTTGTTTTGCCATGAGACCAGAAGAACTAGATGGCTCAAGGCTACCATTACAGAACATTCTGATCAAAGACTCTAAAGAAGAATCCAGATCAGATTCAGGAGGAAAACACAGAACAGAATTTTCACTTCTCAAGGAATTCAGACTTTCTGGAACCACTGAGGCTAAATGAACACCTGAAATTACTGCCCAAGACAACCTTAAAACAACTAGCTGAACTAGTAAAGAACACGTGCCCTGAGTATGATGGGTTTTTTTTTAAAAAAAAAATTATATTGTGATTTGGGTGAAAGTTTACTGAGCAAATTCATTTTCCATACAGCAGTTCACATACACTGTCTCATGACATTGACTGTAATCTCCCACAATGCAACAGCTCTCCTGCTGCTTCCCCACAGCTACCTCTTCCCTGTGTCCTTCCCTTTATACACTCCTGCCTGAACCCACCAGCTCTCTTCCTGTACATACACGCCCCTTCTATTCTCCTATGATTGATCTCTCCAAGGAGTGTATCTATCTAATATAAATGATGTTCAGTTCATATGTTTGTCTTTGGTTTGGCTGGAAGGCACAGGAGTGGATTCAATTCTAGACCTGAAGGGCAGCTAGGGGCCATAGTTCAGTGGTTCTACCAGGCTCTATCAAACCAGCAAACCTGGTCCCCCCCCCCATTTTTTTTAAAATTATTGTTGTTGTTTTTTTAATTGTGATTTGGATGGATATTTACTGAGCAAATTCACTTTCCATACAGCAGTTCACATACATTTTGTCTCATGACATTGACCATAATTCACCACAATGCAACAGCTCGCCTCCCACATCCTCCCGACAGTCACCTCTTCCTTGTGTCCATCCCTCCATGCATCTCTGCCCTCTGAGCTGTCTCCCTGTGCATAAACAGCCCTTCTTTTTCCCACGATTGTTCTCTCCATGGAGTGTATTTACCTCTCAGGTAAATGTTCAACTCATATGCCTGTCTTTTACTTGGTTGGAAGCCACAAGAGTGGGTTCAATTCCAGACCTGAAGGGCAGCTAGGGGCCATAGTCCCAGCGGTTCCACCAGGCTCTATCAGACCAGCAAACCTGGTCCCCGCCCCCCTTTTTTTAAAATGATTTTTAGTTTTGTTTCACACTGTTCCCCCACTCTATCCAGAATCTCCTACACACATCCCCCTTTTAGTGGCTGACAGTGGTACCAGGTACCATCTAGTTCTTCTGATCTCATGGTCATATAGGCTAAGGATCGCATGGTATACCAGTCCCTTGGATTAACTGTTTCCATGCATCTTTGGTTTTCTTCATACCTCTTTGCTCTAGACAGATAGAGAACCATCGTTGCATCTAGATGGCCACTTGCAAGCTTTTAAGATCCCAGTTGGTACTCACCAAAGTAGAATGTGGAAAAATGCTTTTGTGTAGTATGTTATGCTAATTGAGCTTGATGTCCCCTGCAACCATGGTCCCGAGCCCACAGGTCCGACAACTCACTCCCTCTGGGTAGCTGGCTGTGGCTAAGAAGTGACTACAACTTTGTCCCTTGTCAACTCTACTGTATACCTAGAAATTCTTACAGAACATATAAATACACTTGTAGAAACACTGTCTGCCAACCCTATACGTGGTCATGGGCACACCTGCCCCTGCAAAGACATACCTAATTGTTCAGCCTGTCCACCCATCTATCTACCCGTACATCAACGTTTGCCTTCATTGACAACGCAGTACTATACACACAAAAGGGTTCATCTTTGTTGTCAGTACCTCCCATGCACTTCTCTATGTCTTCCTCTTCCTCAGTGCCACCATGTTGATCACTCACATTTGGTACACTGCCCTTCCCTTCTCCCAAATCAATACTTGTCTCTACCTACCTAGCAGTGTTCCTTCCCCTCCCTTCCCACCCCTGGTAACCAACAAAGAAAATTTCCTTCCACATACACAATAATGGACTAATACAGTATTTGTCCTTCTGTCACTTATTTTACTCAGCATAATGTCCTCCAAGTTCATCCATGTTATGCAGTGTTTTGCAGATTTTACGTTATTCTTTAGGGTTGCATAGTATTCCATTGTGTGTACGTACCATAGCTTGGTTATCCATTCTTCAGTTGATAGGCACCTAGGTTGTTTCCATCTTTTGGCTATTGTAAATAGTGCTGTGATGAACAGGGATTTGCATACATCCATGCTTGTCCTGGCTCTCACTTCTTTAGGATATAAACCTAGCAATGGAATGGCTGGGTCAAATGGTATTTCTAATTCCAACTTTTTAAGGAAGTGTCATACTGCTTTCCACAGTGGTTGTATCATTTTACAGTCCCACCAGCAGTGTATGAGAGTCCCAATATCGCCACATCCTTGCCAGCAACTGTTATTTTCTGTCTTGTTGAACTTTGCTCCTAGTGCTGGGGCAAGATGGTATCTCATTGTTGTTTTGATTTGCATCTCTCCAATGGCTGAGTGTGATGCTCTTTTAAGAACTACCTATAT